TTAGTTAAAATAGTGACAATTTCCTTTCTTGTTTTCCTTTTTACATTTTCTGAGTAAAGTGCATCTTGAGGCCAGATTTTTTTTCCATCACCAGTATGAATTTAGATTTTTATGTGTTAAGTCATTTTATTGTTCAGATGGCCTCTTTTTATTTTTGAATTCTGTTTACTTATTTGTTGTAAAATAAATTTTATTTGAGATTGGCATGATGTCATAAGATATTTGTAAAGTAAAATGGTTACTATAGTGAAACAACTTAACATATCCACCATCTCACATAGTTACCAAGTTATTTCATTTTAGGCAAGTAGGAACTTCTTGAAGTTGGTTTCTAGGATGTTTTGACATTAATTAGTCTCTGCCTCCTTGATTTCTGGCATACTTATCTCATACATTTTGTACTCCAGATATGGAATTAATAATTTCTATACAGGGTTTTTTTTTTTTTTTTTGGTGGCGGGAGTGGGGTATAAGGTAACGGGTATTTAGAGATTGTATCTTAAAAGTGTTTCTTGCCATTGTGATTTCCCCAGCCTCCATTTTTCTCAGTATTTTTGTAGACAGAGATAGGAATTTCTATTTCATTTTAAATTTGTAATAGTCATTAATTATTGGTAGTTTTGGTCCAAGCTAAAAGAAGGGTTAAGTTCTTTGGCTTTATGTTTGAGTCTTTCCTCTGATGCTGAAATGGGGTTGGATGGAGATACACTTTTATAAGGGTATTACATCATGGGGTTCCCATCCCTAGTCTTACTCTACTTATAACTACATCTCAAAGACCTCACCACCAAATAATCACATTGGGGTTTGGAGGTTTAACAGTAGAATTTTGCTCATAGCATTTCCTAACCATATCAATGTAATTTCTTGTTTATCTGATAAGATTGCAATAATAATTTCAAAATAATAATACTAATATTACTCTTTATTATATGATAGTTAAATGCATTTATTTTTTCTTTTGGATTCAATTCATGATGTACGTAGGTTTATTTACACAGTCCTATATAGATGGATATCAAGATTGTTTACTATTTTCTGCTGTTATAAATCCTGCCTCAGTTACTAGTTTTATGCTTTTTTTTTCATACTATTATTGCTGTCATTTGGCAGGAGATTCTTAGATGTGGAAATGCTGGGTAAAGGGATAAATGTTTATATAAGTTTGCTAGATGTTACCAGATTCTCCTCCATTGATAGTTATAGTTTTCACATTCCCAGCAGCACATACGAGAGTGTTCTTTTTTCCTCTGCAGGTCTGTCAGAAGTGTGTGATGCCAACAGGCTAAATATTTTGCTTATTTGATAGGTAAATAATAATTTCTCAGTGAAGTTTATAGCATGTTTCTTTTGGCCAAAGTTGACCTTGGTTTATGAGGCATATTATTTCTTTTTTTTGTAAACTGTTAACATTTTTGCCCATTTTCTATCAGGGTGATGGTGGTGGCCATTGTCTTTTTTTTCTAGTTGTAGTTTGACACAATACCTTTATTTTATTTATTTATTTAGTTTTATTTGGTACTGAGGATTAAACCCAGTGCCTCACACAAGCCAGATGAGCACTGTATCACTGAGCCCTAGCCCCAACCCAGTCATTATCTTTTCTTTGTCTATCCTTTTAATATATTGGGATTATAAACCCTGTAGATTGCAAGTATATTTTCCCAATTTTTCATTTGACTTCTGAGTTTGTTGATGAGTTTTTATTGCCATGCAAATAAACTTTTTTAGTTTTTTGTGTAATCATATTTGGAAATGTTGTGCTTTGAATTTTTTGTTTTTCCAGTACTAGGGATTGAATCCAGGGTATTGTGCTTACTACACAAATGTTCTGCCACTGAGCTATGTTCCCCTTGATCTTAATTTTTCTAGGAATATGTTTTAAATATAATAACTGGAACGCTTTTTTAAATGCCTTTAAGGAAATTTAAGGTGATTATAATGTGATCTTATTAGCTTTTTTTTTTAAACTCAGTAATTCTACAAAGTTCTCATTGCCATCAATATGTCATGTGTTCTCTTTGTTTTTTATATTCAGATGTGTTTTTAATATGTTAATCATTACAGCAAAGCAAATTATATTGGTCTGATTTTTATGTAAGTTAGTATTTTTAATTAGAACTAATTTATGAAAGCATGAATTAAGGTTTTACATATTACACTATAGCTTTCTGTTTAGTAGTTTTAGATATGGTTACTCTTTTCCATTATTTTACATTTAGGTTACCATTTGAAGTAAGATTCAAATGTTGAATCCCTTGCAAGTCATATCTTGAGAGCTGTAAGGTTTATAATTACATCATACTTGGAAAAGGGTAAATTGGTATGCCTGTAGGTCAAGTGTAGATTGACAAGTTTCTTCCTGAAACTCAAAATGTCCATTCTAATATTTGATGTACATTATTACAGTACCAGTCTTTTGCAAGTAATATCTAAGTGGTAATGTGGAAATTCTTTGAGGTATTGTAAAATGTACATAAATGGAGGATTTCTTTCTAAATCTGCATTAATAATCAAATTTTGTTAAGCAGTAAAAATGGAAGTGGAGGGAAAACTATCTAAATCAGCTGGATAAAGTAACTTTATCACCTCTTCACAAAATAGTAGGTTGACTAAACAGCATAATGGATAAATACACTGTCAGTTTTGTCTATTAAATGTTATCAATAGTGCCAGATGTTTCATGGCATACAGCTAGCAACTGGGGAGACTGAGGCAGGAGGATTGTAACTTCAGGGCAATCTCAGCAACCTGATGAGACCCTCAGCAACTTAATGAGACCTTGTTTCAAAATAAAAAATAAAAAGGACCTGCAAAGTGTCCCGGGTCCAATTCCTGGTAACCACAATCCCTGTCCCCATCCCCACCACCAATTATCAATTGTGCTTCAAAAGAAGCACTTTAAAAGTGCTGACTTGGGCTGGAGTTGTGGCTCAGTGGTAGAGCGCTCGCCTCGCATGTGCCAGACCCTAGGTTCGATCCTCAGCACCACATTAAAAAAAAATAAGTAAATAAACAAGTGAAATAAAGGTGTTGTGTCCAATTACAACTAAAACAAAAATAATATACATATATAATATATATATATAAATAAAGTGCCGACTGCTACCTGCTTGCTGTTTACAGATGTAACTCAGGGCCCAAAAGGAATAAGAGATAAACAGTAATACATGTACTTTTCAAAGATTCTTATCATTATTCACCAGCAACTGAGAAGGAGAAAAGAAAAATCAGTGATAGATTAGATATCCTCTCCTTTCCTTTCTCTTTATTTGCACTTTTCATTAGGTGTCCCTTCAGTGTGAGAACATGGCTGTGAAGCCTGGAAGTCCTAGCAATGGATGAAAAACAAGTAGAAAATGGGAGAATAGAGGACAGACCAGTTTTTCTTAGCTTTGTAGGCCTTTTAGTAGCTGTCATATGTGAAATATAGCAGAATAGCTTAATGGTTAAGAGCATTTTTTAAAAATGGAAACCTGCTTTTATTAGCTCTGTGATCTTATATGTTTAACCTTAGTCCTGTAACTCTTAGTGAGACCCTGTCTCAAAATTAAAAAAAAAAAAATGATTATTTAGGAGGGTTATGTGAGATCATGTGTATGAAGTGCTTTTATTAGTACCAAGTAAACTGCTTGCACAATCAATAAATAGTTTCTGCTGTTGCTGCAAGTATTGTTTTTGTTGGATTTCTTGGAAATAGATATTAAGAAAATGCCAGTTGAGACCATGTGTGATTTTGCTATGAATGAAAACGAGGTGAGGAAAATCTGAATTATTTACTTTGAATTTCATCATTTCTAACCTTAATCAAAATAAACCAGTGTTGTGCTGAAAATTTTGATATTTTCAGCTTCTAAAATATCTGTTGACATTTTGAACATAAGGAGCACATAGTAGTCCCTTAATCTTTTTTTTTTTTACCAAGTCCAATGCTATCATTTAAAATTACATTTTCATGTATGCAAAAATTACATAGTACTAGGATAAAGAAGACAAAATTAACAGTTGTTAAGATATCAACTTATTTTGTTCAAGTAATCAACATGCATGTTTTTGAAACCAAAGGTCAAAATAAATTAGTAGTAAGATATTTATTTTAAAATAAGGACTTTCAACATTATAATAAACTTCACTGTTTAGTCCAGTTCCCTTTGAGGACTCAGTGTCATCATCAGACTATCATTTTTCAAGACAGAATTATTAGGAATATAGAAATGATTTTAGATTGATACCTGAGATAGAAGGAATTTAAGTGTCTGTTAAGATTCTGCTAAGAATTCAGTTTTTTGTAAGTTACTTTTTTTGAGCCTGGCCTGTTTAGAAGAAAAAATAAGTACCTTTAAAGATCCTATGTTTTAATTGTATTTGCACAAATAGCACGTGGATTCTTTCTATTTACATTTATGTGTGCACATACATGTATATGTCCCCCTGCTTTTTTTTTTTTTTTTTTTTTAAACTTTTGAGGTTAATCAGAGGAATGACTGCACTGATGGAAGAATTTCTTCTGTATTTGATTAAATACTAATTTGGTGATTTCTTCTTAAGTGTGACTTTTATTTAGAATTTTGGTCATTCTGCAATCTTAGAGAGTAAATTAAGTGAAAAATTGAGTTGAATCAAGATTTGGGGGTGTTACACAGCTCTTTTTCAGAATTACTTGATGTAGTGTAGAACACTTAAGCTACTGATTTGCACATGGTAGATAAATTGAATGTAAATAGAATTCAACAAACCAATTAATAAGTATTTAAACATATTTTTTTTGTGTGTGATTCTGAACTATAATAGATATTATAGTTATACTGTGGTGATTTATCCCTTCATAATAGGATCAGGGAAAAAATGTTGCTAGAATCCATAGAAGAAACATCCTAATTAATATATTTATGGAATAAAAACACCATTTTAAAGTTAGAGGTTAATATTTCTTGATTTTAAAGTTCATGATGGAGCCATACAAAATTATTGTGAAAATACTTGTATCATATCACTCTGTGAAAGTTTTATTTACCTTCTTGTATTAAAAAAAAGACTTCTTAAAAGTGCATTGTATACATTGTTCATCCTAGAATCAAGTGTTCATCAAACATCTGTAGTTCCCCCCATCCCTCCCCAAGAGGTTTTTAATTGGTGATGAAGAATAGTTGTCATCTACCAAATTAAAAACTGCAAGTTTGTAAACTTTGCACTCAGAGAAAGAAATATATGCCATAAAATGATTAAGTATTGACATGTGTACACCTGCTGTCAGGAAATAAACTCATATGTTGCAGTCTGGCAGACATGCATCTTAAAATGTATTGAATGAAACTGCTGCTGTATTCTTTATCCTTCCTCCTTTTTTCACCAGTACATCCTTTCTGTGCCTATAGGTGATTACTTTTGCTTCAGTTAGAGGAATATGATTTCATTTTTGCAGATATACTTGAAATCAGATGTACTTAAGTTAAATGGTGTTATTCTTCAAGAGTGCAGTATTTGATCTAATCTAATAACTCATTGAAATACTAGCTTGGCCCTTAACACCAATGAGGAAACAAAGTTTGTCTACTTTGAAACATTTAATAACTTGTTTTTATAAAAACTTGAGCCTGAGACACATTAATATTTCACATTTTATCACATTATGTCAAAAATAATTTCCCCCAGTATATGTGAGTATTAAAAGAAATCTCAGTTATTTTTAAAAGCAAATACTAGGATGGGTACTACATTGATGAAACATCTGAACATTATGGAATAACTCAACTAAATCTTATTGCGTGGAATATATTAAGTTTTTAGAACCCTAGAAGTCAGGTCAGAAATTTTCCTTTGCACAATTACAAAGTTTCCTTAAAATTGATAGTAATGTTTTATTTACATTTAATTATGAATTGAAATGGAAAGCTAAATCTTAAATGAAGGATCTTTTTACTGTCTTCATTTTTTAAATTAAAATTTATGTGGAAAATATATGCAGATACATTTTATTGGCCCCTAACATAATACTTGAACCATTGATGTATGCATGCTTGTTGTTGCATGTTAATACACAGACTCCCCTTATACAGTTTTTTATAGATTGTTTTGGGATACCTTTTGTCATATGATGTTTTAGTTTTAAGAATTACTTTCTTAAGAAATTAAAAAAATATTTTTTTTTGAATTCCTTTATGTGATGAGTTTTAACTAAACCTTGTACTATGGATGTTGTCAGTTTTAACTATACATGCTTTTAGCAATATTTACAGATTGCACACTTGAAAAAAATTGTCTTTTTTAGTGTAGTTTACGGTGACGATACCTGCTTGCCTTTTCCTTTGCAGCGTTGGCACAGGCATTGTGCTTATTTTGTTGTAAATGGTTCCAGTATTTTATCAGTTCGCTAGGCTGGAACTGATGAGAGGTAATTAGGTGACTGTATTTACAGCTTGAATAAGAAACTCGCCAGTGATTGAACACAAACTCATTGGGAGGGGGCACAGGATCAATTCTTAACTTGGCAAGACAGATTCCTACGTACACATCTTCCAAATGCAAACGACGAATACCTAAAGAAACTTTGAATATCTTTTCTGCCAGATCTCCAGAAAAAACATAACCAGTTCCAGAACAGAATACAGGGTAACGTTCACTTGGGTAGAGGTCGGGAGGCATGTACCACTTGCTGTCTTTGTTTCGATTGGGTGCATATCCTCTCATTAGGTAACCAGTAAAATAGTTATGTCTAGGAGGCAGGTCTGGCTTCAGTAACTTATGTATTAAATATTCAGTGTTGACAAACATGTCACTGTCCGTTTTCATAACATATGGAACATGTGGACAGTATGTTGCCACCCAGTTCATACCCATAAGTGTTTTAATGGTCAGATTATAGTATGTATCTAAGTATTCCTGTTGAATTATATCATGATACTGTTTGCTTTCTTCTAGTATTGCACGTTGAAGGTAGCCGTTTAGCTTAATACTTATGCCCAACAAAAAAATTCGTGTGATTTGGATACCAGGTGCTAGACTTTCGTTGCCCCAGGTTTGCCGAATAGCTCTTCTAGCTTCTATTTGTCCAGGTTCTGCTGCTATTAGTAGTATTAAAAAAGGACTTTTCTCCTGGCATTTTCCAGGCTCATTGATAATATATTTGAAATGGTAAGAATTTGAATGTCCAATGCCTTTTAAATTGTAAATACTTCCATTGGCACTAAGTGTATTCTCCAGCCCTGTAACTCCTTGTGGTGACAGGTCTGTGTTATTGGAGTTAATTGCTGTTTGGGGCCTCAGAGTTTGAGGAACTGTGTCTTTCCAGATGTTCCGAAGGGAGCTGTGGTTTGTTTCACTCTTTGTAGAACGAAATCCTCGGAAAGTGTATGTCACAGGATTTTCTTTGAATCCAGCTTTACCTGGTAGCCAGTCATGATGATTGAAAAACAGAAACATAGCAAAAAGAAACACTAGAGAAAGTACACCAATAAGATGAGTACGGAACAGAGACCTCTTGGCGGTCCAGGTCATCTTTGCAAAGCAGCAATGCCTTCTTCTCCACTGAAGCATGTTGTAAATATCCAGTGATGGTATAGGAGATATTGGTGGCTGAAAATACTGTTTTCTTCTCTGAATCAGTAGTGTTCTTTGGTATTCATTTTCTAATTCAGTCACGTTGTGTCCCCTGTAGTCATCCTATAAAGATAAAGCATAAAGGTTTATAAAGTGCTAAATACTACAAAACTGTCTGAAAGGGCCTCTGGGTGCTATTAGGACAAATAAGAGGTTCTTAATCTGGGAAAATATAATAATGCAGAAACCGCTCATAATTTGTTTCCTTTCTGCATCATAATAATATTACTGAGAACAAGATTAATTAAAAAATATTTTGGTAGCAATTAGCACTTCTAAAGAGAAGTGATGGATTAATTTTCTACTTATTTCATTGTCTCAATAGCTCTGGTCATTTGTACATTGGCTTAAGTTAAGGATTTAAAAGTTATAAGTTTCTGGATTCCTGAGAAAAGGCCACGTAAGAAGGCCTTGAGAACAGATGGAAACTGTATTGGCATTAATTAAAATTGATTTGACATACCATTGGTGGTATGGTGCACAGTCAGCGGCCTTTTTTGTAAAATGGTCATGTATCAGTCGTGGGACAGACGGTGCAAGGTTGATTATGGCAGAGTTCTGTTAGTCACAGTACACTGCTTGGCATGTTTCCATTGGCCCCTACTGTGTTGAGAAAGTCAATGAGAAGATGCACCTGTCAAAATTAATTTTCAGGGTCCAGTAACTTCAGAGTAGAATTTTTAGACAGTAATAAATGATTAACATTTTCAAGTACTCTCTTCTAATTTTAACCTTCCACTTCAAATATGAAATATTCAGGAGGTCTTTCTTTGTCCTTAAGATTGATTTTTAAAGTATGTAAAAATTATTTTAATTATCTGGTTTTGGGCAGCGGATATCATATACACTGCAACAGTTTTTCTAGGCTTCCTATAAAATATAGGCAGTAGCTACTATCAGTTCCAACTGTTTAAAATTTTAATTTTCATAAAATGTGTTTTAAAATACTCTTGAATTATGCTGTTGTAAATCTGCATTCAGACAGTTTATCAAATCCTTAGGACTTTTAATATCACAACACTTAAATTTTTTTAAAAAGTTTTTGAAATGTCAGTATGGGAAGTTCATGATTCCACATATTAAAAATTGGCTATGTCATCTTGCATCGAGGCTTTCAAGAGCATAGCACAAACTTATTCATGTTTGTTCTTAGATTTTTCTCTTTGTTCTTAGATTTTCCAGACCAAGAATTGGGGAGCATAGAGGTAGGCAAAGAGCTGTAGTTTGAATTCCACTAAAAGAATGGAAAACTTTTGGGGAAAGAAGACTAACAAATATATAGTTTTGATTTTTTTCAGTTCTTTTCTGAAAATAATTTCTTTAAGCAAAAGAAAACTAATGAAAAATTTAATGTAGAAATATTTGTTTATTTAAAAAAATTTATGTAAATGCATTTGCTTATTTAGCTTGTCATACTGAGTCATGGTTAATAATAGATTTGTTTAACATTGACATGAAATTATTTTAGGAAAAATAGCATTTACATGTAAATTCTCATAATTGAATGATTACAGATTAAAATTCCCATACATAATATCAATACCTTGAAAATATTGGATAGAAAGTTAAGACATGAATGAAAGTACTATTCTAGTAGCAGCCACTAGGAGGAGCAAGTAGGTGGGAATTTGAAAGAACTTCTAAAGTGTAACAGTACAGGCACCAACCAGAATTTGATAATTCTTACTTTTTGAAATTATATAGTGCTTTTAGAAGTCTTAATATTCTTAACAAAATAATGAATCATCTCATAGTTATAAGCTAATTATTTTAAGTTTGGGGTTTTAAAAGCAATTGTTCATTAGAGTTTATTTGCATGCATTTAAATTTTTTACGTTACTGTAAATGAAGAACAAGACTATTCATTGTATCAACAAAATATAGTTCTTTTGTAAGCGAAGTTAAGAATAATAGAGCTGAGTATTCTGATTTAGAAAGTAATCATTTCCTTCTTGTACTTGTAAATAGTTGGCCTTTGTGTTTAAACCAGGAAACAATTTTTAAGATTTTATTACAAAACGATACATTTGGCAACTAGTAAATTCCCCCTCCCCACCTCAAAAAGAGATCAGTAGATGTTAGGGTTATGTATGTAAATTTAAAAGAAACAAAAGTTACTTTTAAAATTGTGTTTCAATCCAAACAAGTTCAGTGTACCAGCTTTCTGTTTCAGTCAAATAAATCTCTTAAATGTGTAGATGTATGGTTTAAAAAGCAATAAGTATAAGGTCATGTATTTGAATCAAGATATTGATAAGGTCATGTATCTGAAGAGGTGAATGAAATAAATATTATAGTAATAAGTTATGTTATTTTGATGAAAACATTGTACCTGAAGTGATTTCTCCAAAACATTTCAGTGCTACAGAAAAGAAAAAATTATTACATATTGTGATCTATCAAGTACAAAATTTTGGTTCTAATATGTTTTATAGTAATATATCATAATGTTGCACCTTAATTTAAATTTTATGATAGTTGTGTGTCTTTAAATATTAATCTGTGGAGGCTTAAAATCTGTATCTGCTTGTTTTGGAATCTCCCATTGATAAAAGAAGCTCATGTATCTAGCCTTAGAAAAAATTCTTTGTTAGAAGTTTCCTAGGTATTTATCATAGTTTTCTGTTAAGAGTAAGTAAAATTGAAGCAACTATTTCTCCTTTTATCAAATGATAATATATATTCTCCAGTTAATGCCTGTTACATTTGAATTCTTGAAAAGTGAGAACAAGACAAAAAAGCTTAATATTTTGGCATGCAAATAGTTTTGTACTTTCATATTTTTAGAAGAGAAATGACTTTGATTTATCTCTTACAATTCTTTTTTTATATTTTCAGTGTGTATTTATTTACATCTTGTGGATTGAAGTTCATGCAAATGATGTTACTGTAAAATGCAGTTCATTCCACTCACATGCATACAGAGTTTTATCATTTGACTTTCAAACGTTGATATATTTAGTCTATTGGAACAGCCTTAGATTTAAGTGGTGCTTTAATAGAAAAACTTATACACTTTCATTTTGAGATATCTAGCTTATAAAACTGCTTAATTAGGTGATTTTAACATTAATAAAGGTAACGAGGGACTTGATTTTTACAACCTTTTTTTCTTAATACTATATTATTTTGATCTGTTGGAATAAAACTTCATGGTTATTATTGAGTTGATGTTGAGATGTAGTAGGGCCTGTTATACATGGCTAATCTTAATTTCGTAATACAGTGCTTACATATTATCTTAAAAAATGTTTGCCTTCCGTGATTATTAAATAATACTAGTAAATTATAAAACAGGGAAAATCAAGATATTGATAGTTTTATAAAATTTTTAGGAATATCCTTGTTCTAGAACTCTTGAGTTTTTTTTTTTTTTTTGCTATTCTAATGATGATTGTTGCTATAATAGTTTATTTGATTGATCTCTATACTGAATGTACATATAGTGGCAGTGGTTCATTACTACATATTAACATACCCTGGAAGCATATTGGATCCCTTTATATTTAATGTTTTGAGCTGTTTTGCATTGCTGTTTGTGGATATTTTATATCATAGTATTTTCACATTGTGTTTTGGAGTTTCACTTTTAGAAGGATCTCCAGGAGCAATTTGAGGTTTCTTCCTTTAGAATCAGTTACCTAAAATAAAAGTTCACTATTTCAAATAGAATTTTTTTTTTTAAAGCAACTATTGACACTTCTTTGTTTAAAGTTGTGTTCGTGGACACTGTACTAACATGTGACTCTACTGTGGTGTTATGGTATGCACAAACTCACACTGCCTTATGTGATCCTTTGCTAATGTTTTCCTTTTAGTATCTTATAGCTCAATAATACTTAAAATTTGTTGATATACTCTTAGATTGTATTCATTGTCATTATTAGAGCAAGTAGATTTTGGAGGGAAGGTTTCATTACTGTAAGCAGTTAAATATTTTGTTTTAAGAGGACTTTGCAAAAAAGCTCATAATATTAAGATCATCCTAAATGGTGTTCAATGTAATTTCACTGCATTGTCTCTTCATAGCCATTTTAAAGAGTGCACTTTAATTTACGAGATAAGGATTCATTTTGACCTAATTTAATGGAGGATTGCTGTGTTTTCTGTACAGAGCTACAGATTTTTTTAAGTTTAATTTCTCAGAGAATCCTTAAGTATGTTTTGTTACTATTTGCTTTTTCCATCTTATATGTCTATAGTCCATAATTACTCCAAGCTACACACTTAGCTGAATAAAGCAGTGGCAGCTTGTCTTCTAAACAATGACAAATTTTAAAATTATTTATTTAGAACCCCTTTCTTAGTTTCAAGGGCAGTGAACTGTGTGAACTTGTTTATAAAGGATTAGTGCCTCCAGGGTTATAAAAAGGTAACACATTTAAACAAATATCATACACAAGATATCGACATACCTTCCTTGGTCAGGCCATTTATGTGGTGAGGATTATGCCCACTGAAAATAGTTTTGGCACGCCATCACTTCAGCAAAAAAGATGCTATCGAACATGCGCACATCCCCCAACAGTCTGCCTTCTGCGATTGCTTTTCACAGTATCCAAAGTGTCCATCTGTCTGCTTGTCTTCAAGTTACCCTCCTTGTTCATATGTGTCCTAGTCTTCTGAGGTTTCCCCTTTCTTTCATTCTCTCTTTTGTTAAACAAAAGAGCTGTAGTTGTCCGCTGTATTTGGAGCACTGTTGACTCTTTCCGACAGTTGATGCATTGAAGCTTTTTACATCTGCTGTTTTCCTGGCTGGACAATGCAGTGCTGTATTCCCTTCTCAGTATCCATATTTCTAGTATTAACACTAAGCTGCAGTGTAAAGCAGCAGAGCTAGAATCTAGTGCTTCGGTTGTGTTGGAAAAGAATAGGATTTACCTCTCTTCTTTCGTTGCCGTGTGGCAGCTGCAGGAAAGATTTTTTTTTGAGCAGTTTCACTGGGGTTTTAGTCTATAATATGAAATCCACGGTTCTTCAGCTGCTGCACAAGCAGGCAGCAGTTTAAATGTGGGCTTGACAGATGCTCTCTCTGACAGAGCAGAATTTAACGTCACTGCTTGGCTGAATCCCACGTGATTGTTTGCATTCATTTTGACTAAAAACCTAAGGTAGAGAGAAGCTTAGAGATTTTACTTCTATGTGATAAATTATATATATTAATGTAAGTGTAATGATGAGTGAATAATGTGAAAATGGGATGATTATGAAATGAATGGTTATGATTTTATTTTATTGCAGCTCACCCCCCCCCCCCCCAAAAAAAAAAAAAAAGGCAGCTCGAGCTTTCTAAACATTTCTGTGTTAGATGGTAGCTTTTATGCTTCTTAAATGCTTTGGGTAGGGCATAAGTAATACAAGGTTTTAAACGTAAATTGATATAACTTAACCCCTTCAGGACTTTTCTTTCTCTTCAAGTCCCACCACCCCCCAACATTGCTCTGAGTTTGCTAATAGGTAGTTAAGATTTACACTATTTATCTTTTATCTGTAATTTAGACTTTTCTCCTCTGTTTTCTGCAATTGGTATAAATCAGGTGCTGTAGATTGCTTTTAACTGTTGAAAGATGTGACATAGCTCACTTCTTTTTTGCTGTGTTTTAAGTGTTTTTTGAAGGCAGTAAATTTTGATCACTTTTTAATGTCAACATTTTTAATTTGTTTCTTTTCTTTAAAATTACATTTATCATAGATTCAAACAAATGATATAGTAGTAGAACACATTTGTATAGCATCTTCTTGGTGAATTAAGGGATCTTTTATTTATTTATTTTTTTTGTACCAGGGATTGAACCCAAGGGTGCTTAACCACTGAGCCACATTTCCCAGCCCATTTTACAATATTTTATTTTGAAAAAAGACAGGGTCTCGATATTGAGGCTGACTTTGAACATGTTGTTATCTTCTTGCCTCAGCCTCCCAAGCCCCTAAAATTACAGGCATGAGCCACTGTGCCCAGTGAATTATTTTTTTTTCTTAACTATGTTGTCTTATACTAGTATTTCAGGATGGTTTAGTAACTTGTCATGAAGCAAATTTCATAAACATTAGATAATCTGAAAGCCTCCTTAATATGATTAATCTCTTGGACACTTTTGGTATCTTGCTGTTTTTTTTCCCCTGAAAGAGCAGTGGGCAATTTTTTTTTTTTTTAAATAGCCTTATCAGTTTTTCCACTCATATTCTAGGGACTAAGTAGTTCCTTGATATTTATAGTTCGTCCTCAGTAATATCTGTTATTTCAAGTGATTGAATAAAGATTTATATTTTCTATAATATTTTAAAAAATTGTCCTCATTTAAAAAAATTTTTTTTTTGATACTGGAAATTGAACTCAGGGGCGCTTGACCACTGAGCCACAACGCCAGCCCCTATTTTTTTTTTTCCTTAGTTATACATGGATACAATGTCTTTATATTGTTTGTTTATTTTTATGTGGTGCTGAGGATCGAACCTGGTACCTCACAGGTGCAAGGCAAGCGCTCTGCCACTGAGCTACAGTCCCAGCCCTGTCCTCATATTTTTTTTTTTAAAATATTTCTTTAGTTGTAGTTGGACACAATACCTTTATTTTATTTATTTATTTTTATGTGGTCCTGAGGATTGAACCTAGCGCCTCGCTAGGCGCCGTGTCAGTGCTCTACCATGGCCCTAGCCACTGCCCTTATATGTATTATTTTTACTAAAAACTAAAAAATAATTTGGTTTTTAGTAATAAAAGTGTGCTAATAAAATGTGCTCTTTAGTTTTAGGAATCATGTGATTTTGTTTCTTAGGCATATATGTCATTTTTCTAAAAATTGTAGAAGGAATTTTATATATATGTATCTGTATATAGATACACATACATATGTATAACATATATATGTATGAAATCTAAGGACTTTGGTTAATCTAGCTTGAGCGAGAGTACTAAAACTCTTCTTAGCACTTAGGTTTATCTCCCACCATACTACAATGCATACTACTTCTTTTTTATTAGATAAACTGGAGTAACAGAGCAAAGATTATGAAACAACCTAAAATAATCTTTTTCCAAAAGTAGAAGTGGATTTTTGTAGACCAGTGTTTAGTAGTGATTTCTTATATAAAATTTGACTGTGAGTTAGTAGGCAGTGGCCATTTATTGTTTACCCAAAGTGAGGTTGTATGCTAACCACTTAAATTGTTACATAAAATGGCTTTTATTTCTCATGATGGTTTCATTATTGTAATATCCATTTCATTATTGTAATACCATTTTAAAGAAACCAGTGCCTAAAGTTGTTAATAGTTAGCTCAAATATCAGCTAATTAGTGATTAAAGAACAAATTGGTTAACTTCAGAGCAAGATTATCTAAATTTTTATGCTGTATTCTTAACCATTATACTACATGGGCGTTAGAGAAATTGAGAATTTTTTCCCCAGCACTGACACAACATACTCAGTTATCATTAATAGAATTATGTGATGTTTATATTTTCACTTTGATCGCCTTTTCAATAAATAAATTTTGATTAACTACTGCATACTAAAATTTCATTTAGGCACAGATTATTAAATGTTGGGCATATGAAGATGATTTAACACATTCCTTATCTTTCTCTAGGAATGGATAAAATAATTATTTTAAAATCCTTTTTTAAAGTAAAAATTTTTGATGCTTAGTAACTGTACATATTTATGGGATACATTGTGACATTTTAATACAGTATGTAAAGATCAAATCAGAGTAATTTCCATATTCATCATCTTTGCCAATTTTTTTGATTGAATTTTCTTTGATGTTCCACTGGGTTTTTTGGGTGTGTGTGTGGGCTGAGGTACTGGGGATTAAACCCAGGGACAAATAACCACTAAGTTACATGCCCAGCCCTGTTTTTTGTTAAAAAACTAAATTGCTTAGGGCCTCGATAAGTTACTGATACTGGTCTGGAACTTTGAGTTTAGCCTCTCAGGGCTCTGGGATTACAGGTGTGTACCACCACACCTGGAAATCTTAATTACTAAGAGAGCTTCATGTTCATTAATGGTTCCCTCCAGTGTTGGCTTGAGCCCCTTCATTACCAGCAGGCTTTTTTTTTTTTTTTTCAACTATGCTTAACAAGTATTGATATAGCAGGAGACTCCTAACAAAAGATGCCTATGTACTTAGTCAGAATTTTCTTCAGATTTCGAGGTATATATCCACAAACTGTTTCTTAGGTTTAAGTTATGCTGATTAAGAACTTTTCTATAAAGAAAAAGAGAGCAGAGCTGGGTCCATGCCTGTAATCCCAGTGGCTTGGGAGGCTGAGGCAAGAGGATTACAAGTTCAAAGCCAGCCTCTGCAATGGTGAGGTGCTAAGCACCTCAGTGAGACCTTGTTTTTAAAGAAAATACAGAATTGGGCTGAGGATGTGGCTCAGTGGACAAGTACCCTTCAGTTCAATCCCCAGAATCAAAAAAAGAAAGAGGAACTGGTGCTATACCTGGGTTCAGTCCCCAGCACCACAACAGCAACAACAAAACAAAACACCAAAAAGAAAAACAGCAGATGTAATATTAAAAGTTCCTAGTTTTTTTTTCTTTTTTTCGTAGCATCCTACATGTTTCCAGTCAAGAGAAAAGTAAAAATCTTATGACAGGCAAGTTGTACAAGTTCTTCCTTTAGTTTCTTTTCATATCTGAATTCTACAGTTAAACTAAGTCAGTAAATGTGGCAGGTTTCTTTGTGAGACTCAGCAAACTGGCAGCTACTTTTACAGTTATAAAATGACTTATAATTATTATTTGCCTAGATCTACTTTTAATATTGTAACACATCCCTGATGGCCAGTTAGGTGTCCATTACTGTGTGCATTCTGGCCATAAATGTCCATCTGGTTTTAGCATTTCCCTTACCTTGTCTAGAAGAACCCTCAAGAAGCTAGAAGTTAAAGATGGGATTAGGGATGCCTCCTGATTCCTAGTTTTTACTGGGTAGAGGAAATAATTATTCTTTTGTTTATGCATTTAATATTTTTGAATGATTAATACATAGTAAATCAGATGTAAACCTGCTGTGCAAATTGCTCACTATCTAAGTAATTCATGGAGTTTTATTATCTATATTTGTATATAGGTTTAAGTCATGTCCTTGGTTGAAAAAAAGATTTAGAGAAAATTTTTAAATTTTATAGGATGAGACCACTTAAAATAGTGAGAAATTATCTTTGAGTAATATGAGAAGGGAGGCATAAATCTACTCTTTACTACATTTGTCTACATTTCTGTTTATGCTTTAGTATGAGTAGTTGGCCTCTAAAATGAAAGTACTTAATTTCGGCTGATGCTGATCAGAAGAACTGTCTTTTTTTTCAGTGCTGGACAGGAATGAGTCATAATTTTCACTGCACAACTCTGAAAACTGCCATTTCAGAGTGTTATCTAAAGACCACTTTTAGTTTCATTGGGGTCCCTCAGCAATTTTGCATAGTAATATTAAAGTTTATACCTCTTGATTATTTTAAAATCTGATGCATTGCATTCCATTCTGTAAAAAAAAATAGACAAAAGACTTATTTTTGCTTATTGTTAGTAAATGGTATTCCCTTTTTGTAGAAAAAAATAGTGTTTATTTAAAAGTTAGAATTATCCTCTGAAGTATATAGATGATCCATAATTCAGTTTTATTCTTTGAGTTCACAAAGCAGGAATTACCCTGAGAGCAAATTAGCAATCTCAGAATGACCACAAGTGTCAGTGTTTGCCTGCCTTATTTTTCTCCTTCCATTTTCACCAAGTTGTGCAGCCAGATACTCATATTGTTTAAAAATTTCTTTTGACTTGAGAGCAAAGTTAAATTGATGTGTCATTTTTAGAACCATGTAGACATCTTTATCTGTTTTAATTCTTACAAGCTATCAGTGATCCTGAAGGAAAATATAAACATTTAAAATCAGCAGTGATATGGCAAGTGCTAATTGGTTTCTCAGACACCTAGCTGTTTCAGCCAGGAATAGTACCTTTAGAGCTCTAGTTCTCAATGGGCGCAGTACTGGGGGCAG